ATGCTAAATTTATTGTTTGCAGTTTTAATAAACTTGCAATGAGATAAAAATGAATTAAAAATGACTTTGTGTTTGTGGCTATTGCATTTGGATGTCTCATAGGGGTTATTTTCTATGGAAATAAGCTTGTTAGAGTCTTGTGTAGAATATGTTGAATAATCTCACTTGACTAATTCAAATTTATTTATCTCCACTTTATTTTTTCCTGATGTTGCCTTTCTGAGTAATTATACTCTATTTTTTCACACTACACCCACCTCACCCTCTCCTACCTGACAAATTGTTCCAAAATCATAAACAAAGATTGAACCATTTGGACAAGAAGAAACTATAGAAGGAAGCACATATGTCAGTAAAAGGAAAGAATTAGAAGGTAAATTTGCATTTGCTTGCATGTGTGCATTGTGTTATACCTGTAACATGTGGTCCCCATTCTCCTCTTATTAAGACTCTAACTGATGAAGGAAGAGTTTGTACTATTTAGGTAAGTATCCTCCTTACTATGATTAGAAAGACATTTCGTCAATATTTTACCCAGCCTAGGTTTTAAGGCTTAGTGGGAAAAAAAGAACTTATTTTTTATAGGATTGTACCTTAACCAAAACAAAGTAAAGTAATTACATTTCAAATACAGACATTCAATTGGCATACCATTGCTCTAAATTAACCTGGTGCCCTTAAAATATCAATTTCTTGCCCCTGAAGTCACTATTTCAAACGATGGAGAAAATATTAATGACACATTGTTATTATTTTTATTGATATGTAACATAATAGATGTACATACTTTGGGATATAGGCAATAATTTGATACATTCATGTAATATGTAAAAAACAAAAGTATTGGGGATGTTCGTCATCTTAAATATTTATTTTTTTCTTTATGCTGGCAACATTTGAATTATTCTTTTCCAGCTATTTTGAAATACACAATAGATTACTATTAACTACATTCAACCTACTGATCTATCAAACACTAGGTCTTATTTCTTCTATCTAACTGTATATTGTACCCATTGAGGAGAGATTAATTAATGACACTTCCGTTGTGCTATGTTCACTTATATTTCATCCTCCCTAAATCCAAGGAATGCTGTGAAGCTTATCTACATTTCATAGATAAGAAAAATATGTGGCATACTTAAAATCACTTAGCTGGTGCAACCAAAATTTAGATCTGGTTTGAAAGCTTTATTATTCACCATTCTATTCTACTCTAAGAGTAAATGACTTTGCTTAGAAGGGCTTATTTATTCATTGACAAACTGTTTTGGCTGCTAATTATGTGTGTACCAGGCATTGTTCTAGGTTTAATATTACAGTGTCTCTACACTAATTCACACAGCTTAGTACTGGTTCAGAAATGCACACAGATAAATGCAAAGGGTGAAGGAATCTTGAAAATATGTCTAAAAATGGGAATTTGTATATGTTATAATAAAATTGGTATTTAAAATCTGTGGGATTGAGTCAAAGATATTCTTTATTAAGAAATACAGGATCATGGCCCAGTCTTTTGCAAAATATAAAAAAGGATCCCTTTTAAACTTATTATACTACAGTAAATTCTATATGGACACAAGATGCAAAAGTAGAAAGTAAAGATGCCAAAATAGTGCATGAAAATATGACAAAGTGTTTTGTAGTATTGACATGTAACTCAGTATTCATACAGGGAAAGACTGATAAATTTGATTACACACAATATTGAAACTTATGTATGGAAAATTTTCATAAACAAAATTGGGAATTATTTTGCAACAAACATGTTAATTTTATATGAGTGATACAATGCAACCTGGGCTGTAGCAGCTTGGGGTTTTACAATCACAGGACTCTATTTTATTGATGGCCAGCAGATGTGGGGTGAGGTTTTTTTGAGGTATGCATAGCAGATGGTCTCTAAATGGCAAAAATATGCTTGTTTAGGCTACTTTTAAAACAATTGGACATGTAAAAATTGTACTTTACTACCAGCAGACTTAAGCTAATGGGTCTCAGCCTGTAGGGAAGAAATAATTAACCAAAGGACCAATACACATAGGCTATTTTTGGCTCATTTATGTAACACTTCAATAAGATTAAAAAACAATTTGCAAAACAGAGTACATACTACATTCCTATTTGTGTGAAAAATATCTGAGAGTATATGTATGTGTTTTCATTTCTCCTGGTGTGTATATGTGTGTAGTACACAAGAGGAATAAATTTTGAAAGATGACCTTTATTAACAGAAGTGTTTGGAGTGGAAATTGGACCAGAGGCAAAAAACAAAACAAAACAAAACAAAAAAACAAAACAAAACAAAAAACTCCAGTTTTTAAAATGTTTTAGCACATCTATGTATTTTTCAAATTTTCTTTTACTCGGAATGTGTATTACTTATATACTTTTAAAAAGCTATTAGGTCAGGCATGGTGGCTCACACCTGTAATCCCAGCACTTTGGGAGGCTGAGGTGAGTGGATCACTGAGCCCAGGAGTTTGAGACCAGCTTGGGCAACAGAGTGAGACCCTGTCTCTACAAAAAATAAAAATTAGCTGGTTAGCTCTGTGTGGTGGCATGCACCAATAGTCCTATCTACTTGGGAGGCTGAGGTGGAAGGATGGCTTTAGCTTGGGAGATCCGGGCTGCAGTGAGCCATGATCACACCACTGCACTCCTACCTAAGACCCTGTCTCAAAAACAAGCAAACAAACAAACAAAAAAAAACCTAGTTAATTTTTCATTAAAAACCCATTGAGATAGTTACTATTGTATTTCCTAAAGAAAATAATGTATGGGAACCACTTTTACATTAATATATTTCTACTGCTGTCTGAGCAGTAATAAAATATCACTAACATATTCCAACGTTTCTTCTTGTGATCTTCATGGTTGGATTTCCTCCAGCAATGTATGATGCTTGCTCTCGTGATCTGCTTTATTGGTGTGCTCAGTTTAGATAGAAAGACTTCATAGATTTGGGATTTAGGAGACGAGGTGTGCTAAAACAGTTTTAAGAATAGGTTTATTTTTAGTGGTAGTTGATAATGTAAATAACATTGCAGTACATAATTCAATCTCATTTCTTTTTTCAACGCTATATAATTTAGACTGCACTAATTTTGGCTTTTTCTCATCTAGCTGTTTCTTCAATATAAGTTTGTTATGATTTTGAGCCTTTGTTCTCTAATCTCAAAAAATGTGGATTCTTAATAGTTTTTGTGGTTGTATAGCATGCTCAGGCTCTGGAATCAGACAGTCCTCAGTTCTGAATTCTAGTCATTTAAGAACTGCATGGATTTGGGCAAGCTATTTAATCTCTTCTATGTCTTCTATGCTACAGTTTCCACATCTATATAATGGGGATAGTTGTAGTACCTACCTCATAGCACTTGTGAGAAATAAATGACATTTTCCATAAAAGCATGGTATACGTACAAAAACAGACATATAGACCAATGGAACAGGATATAGAACCCAGAAATAAAGCTGCACACCTACAAACATCTGATCTTCAACACTAGTAAGCAATGTGGAAAGGACTACCTATTCAATAAATGGTGCTGGAATAACAGGCTAGCCATATGCAGAAGATCAAAACTGGACCCCTACCTTGCACCATATACAAAACTTAACTCAAGATGAATTAAAGACTGAAATGTAAGACCTAAAACTGTAGAAACCCTAGAAGAAAACCTAGGAAATACCATTCTGGACATCAGCCTGGGCAAAAACTTTGACTAAGTTTCCAAAAGCAATTGCAATAAAAACAAAAATTGACAAGTGGGACCGAATTAAACTAAAGAGCTTCAGTACAGCAAAAGAAACTATTAATAGATTAAACAGACAACCTACAGAATGGGAGAAAATATTTTCAAACTATGCATCCAAGAAAGGCCTACTATCCAGAATGTATAAGGAGCATACATGTTGAATTCAACAAGTAAAAAACAAATAACCCCATTAAAAGTGGGCAAAGGTCATGAACAAACCTTTCTCAAAAGGAGACATACATGTGGCAAACAAATATATGAAAAAAATGCTCAGCATCACTAATTATTAGAGTAATGTAAATCAAAATCACACTCAAAACCGGTGAGATTCATTGGTTAGAATGGTTATTATTAAAAAAATAACAGATTTTTACAAGGTTGTGGAGGAAAAGGACTGCTTATACACTGTGGGAATATAAATTAGTTCAGCCACTGAGAAAAGCAGTTTGGAGATTTCTCAAAGAACTTAGAACTACTATTTAACCCAGCAGTTCCATTACTGGTATATAACCCCCCTAAAATAAATCATTCTACCAAAAAGACACATGAACTTGTATGTTCATCACAGCATTATTCACAATAGCAAAGACATGGAATGAACCTAGGTGCCAATCAACAGTGAAGTGGATAAAGAAAATGTGGTATATATACACCATGGATTGCTACACAGTCTTAAGAAATAATCAAATCATGTCCTTTCAGCAACATGGATGCAGCTGCAGGCAATTATCCTAAGCAAATTAATGCAGAAACAGAAGGCTAAATACTGAATGTTCTCACTTGTAAGTGGGAGCTAAACATTGAGTGCACATGGACATAAAGATAGGAACAACAGACACTGGGGATTACTAGAGGGGGAAGGGTGGGATGGAGAAGAGGTTTGAAAAACTACCTATTAGACACCATGCTCACTACCTGGGTGACGGGATCTTTTGTATGCCAAACCTCAGTGACATGCAATTTAGTCATGTAACAAACCTGCACATGTACATACTGAACCTAAAATAAAAGTTGGAAAAAAGCAGATGGAATAAAAATTAGTTCTAATTTGGAAATTGAAAGTTATTAATAGCATTTTCATTTTTTGAGGAGTGTACATTTTATTGGAAACCTTAAATAATTTTCAGAAGACATCTTCAATCAAGTTTCTTGTGTGGCCTACACAGAAAACTGAAGCTTTTTGGATTAGGGGCAAGGAGACGGACAGTACAGAGGACAAGGACCCCTCACAATGAATGGCCTTCAGCTAGCTTTTGCCACAGCTTCTTCAATGGGTCCTAGCCTATAGAAGATCTGTTCTGGGAGATGGTCATATTCACCTGGCAAAATCTGCTAGAATCCTTTGATGGTATCCTTCAGGGGTACCAGCTTCCTCATATGACCTGTAAAGACCTCAACAACCTGGAATGGCTGAGACAAGTAACACTGTATTTTCTGTGCACAGGACATGGTCAATTTGTCATCCTGAGAAAGTTCATCCATACCCAGGATGGCAATGAGGCCTTGGAGGGATTTGTAGTCCTGCGGGATCTTTTGCACCCCATGGGCCACATCATAATGCTCATCGCCAACAATGTTGGGATCTATGATACAAGAGGTGGAATCTAGAGGATCCACAGCTGGACAGATGCCAAGTTCAGCAATGACATGGGACAGCACATCCAAATGAGCAAAAGTAGTAGCAGAGGCAGGGTCAGTCAGGTCATCAGCAGGCACATAGATAGCCTGTACAGAGGTGATAGATCCCTTCTTGGTGGTGGTAATTATTTCCTGCATAGTACTCATGTCAGTGGTCAGGGTAGGCTGATAGCCCACAGCAGAATGGATTCCGTCTGATAAGGCAGACACCTCTGCACAAGCCTGGATGAAGCAACAGATTTTATCAATAAATAGCAATACATCTTGACCTTCTTGATCTGTGAAGTATTCAACCACAATCAGTCCAGTCAGAGTTACCTGGGCACGAGCACCAGGTGGTTCAATCATTTGACGTATACCAGCACTATCTTGGAGGTGGCATGTTTTAAGCTGATAACATCAGATCACAGAATAAATCATTGCCCTCACGGGTCCTGTCACCAACACCAGCAAACACTGAGTAAGCACCATGGGCTTTGGCAACATTGCCTACTAACTCCATGATCACTACAGTCTTGCCAGCTCCAGCACCACCAAAAAGTCAAATTTTGCCAACCTTGGCATAGGGAGCTAGCAGATCTGGTGACCTTGATATCAGTCACCAGAATTTCCTGCTCAACACTCATTTCCATGAACTCAGGAGCCTCAGCATGAACGGGAGCAAACTGTGTGGTTTTGATGGGACCTCTTTCATCAGGTTCCTTAATGACATTCATGATTCTGCCCAAAGTCTCAGGACCAACAGGAATTTTGATTGATGCACCAGAATCCAGGACTTTCTGGCCTCTAACCAAGCCTTCTGTACCACCCACAGCAGTGGTCCTTACTGTGCTCTCACCCAAATGCTGGGCCACCTCCAAAATCAGCCTGGTCTTCCTGCCTTGCACTTCCAGGGCATTTAGGGTATCCCATCAAACTGGACATCCACCACTGCATTAATGACTGCCATGATGCTCCCAGTGAGAGCGTCTGCCTTCAACGAAGGAGATGCTTGTGATGCATTGTCCCTGGCAGGATGGACTGCTGTGGGAATGGCCTGCAGTAAGAGTTGAGCTATGGAATAGCGATGCTGAAGGACTGAGTCCCTGCAAGGCCCTAGAGACTGAGGCAGCAGCCACAGGACCAACAAGACTCAACATGGTAGAGTCCGGGTGGAGTCTAGCACTTTCAATTTTGAAAGGTATTACTTTTGTAGAAACTACTTTTTTTTTTTCCTGCAGAAAAGCTCTAAAATGTGATCAAAACAACTCTTTCTAAATTTACTTACATTTCTTTAGCTAAGCCATGTAGTATGTATTCAATTTTTCAATGTAAATGCTTTGAAGAAATATGTATTTTGAGCATGTAAAAACTAGAGGTGGTTAAGAGCTTGGCATTAACTTATGATGGGTAAAAGAAGAAGTGGTCAGAAATGTTTTTCAGACATTTCTTATTAAATTTGTTTTAAAAATAAACCGACTAATTTCTCTGTCCATTTCAATTTATGATTTTGCTGCAAATATTTATGGATTTTTATAAACCTTTTGTTATTTGTTTCCTTATTTGCTGTTATTGATCTTTAGAATACGGATTGGGTAATTCTTTCTTATAATTGAAGTCGAATATAGAGAAGAAGCCTACTGAAGAGCTTTATGATATCATGTTACACCAGATACTCAGTAAATAGCTGCATGATATATGAGCAATTATTTAAAACAGACTTTACCTTTTAGAGACATTTTAGGTTCAAACTTGAGCAGAAATTACAGAGTTCCCTTCCATGCACAGACTCCTCCACAGTCAACATCCCACACCAGAGTGATACATTTTCTACAAATGGTGAACCTACACTGATAACATTATCTCCGAAAGTCATGGCTTACATTAGAATTCAGACTTGGTATTATACATTCTCTAGGTTTGGATAAATATATACTGATATGCATCTACCATTGTAGTATATGGAATAATTTCGCTGACCTAGAAATCCTCTGAGCTTGGACTATACATCCATTTCTCACCCCCGACACCTGGTAATCACTATCTTTTTATTGTCTCCGTAGTTTTGCCTTTTCCAGCATGTCACCTGTTGGAATCATACAGTATTCAACCTTTTTATATATGCTTCTTTCACTTAGAAATATGCATTTGAAGTTTCTTCAGGCCTTTTCATAGCTTGATGGCTCTTTTTTTAATTGTTGAGTATATTCCATTGTCTGGATATACCACAGTTTTGCTGAAGGACATCTTGGCTTTTTCCAAGTTTTGTCAATTATGAATAAAGCTGTTATAAACATCTGTGTGCAGGGTTTTTTGTAGACATGAGTTTTAAACTCATCTAAGTAAATACCAATGACAGCAATTGCCAAATCACATGGTAAGAGTATGTTTAGTGTTTTAAGAACTGCCAAACTGTCTTCTAAGGTAGCTATACTACTTCGCATTACTACCAGCAATGAATGAGAGTTTCCATTGCTCCACATACCTGTCAGCATTTGGTGCTGTCACTGTTCTGGATTTTGGTCATTCCAAGGGATGTGTAGTGGTATCCCATTGTTGTTTTAATTTGAATTTTCCTAATGGCACATGATGTTGAACATTTTTTTTTACATGCTTATTTGCCATCTGTATATCTTCTTTGGTGAAATATCTGTTCTTGTCTTTTGCCCATTTTAAAATATTTTTGTATTATAGTAATTTAATTTTGTTCCCGTATTATATTAATTAATTTAATCTCCGTTGAAACACAGGGTTTAAAATGTGTAAAATAATTTCAGCTTTTGTTTTAAATTCAGGGTGTACATGTGCAGGTATGTTACATGGGTATGTTGAATGATGCTGAGGTTTGGGATACAAATGATCGTGTCACCCAGGTAGTGAGAATAGTACCCAAGAGTTAGTTTTTCAGTCCTCATGCCCCCCACTTTCTTTACTTGTTTCTCCAATAGTCAGTCTAGTGTCTAGTGTATAGTCCAGTCCAGTGTTGACACCTTTATGTCCATGAGTACCCAGTGTTTAGCTCTCACTTATAAGTGAGAACATGTAGTATTTGGTTTTCTGTTCCTGCATCAATTTGATTAGGATAATTATTTGATGATTTTTAAATCTGATTTTTTACTTTCTTATTTGTAAGTTATAAGAGTTAACTGTACATTTTAGATAATAGTCTTTTATTAGATATGTATTTTGCAAACATTTTCTCATAGTCTGTGGCATGTCTGCTCATCCTCTTGGTGGTGTCTTTCATAGAGAAGTTTTAAATTTATTTTAGTTTACATATATTGTTTTATTTCAGTAGCTTTTGGGGTATAACTGGTTTCTAGTTACATGGATGAATTATATAGTGATGAAGTCTGGGATTTTAGGGCACCTGTCAGCCTAGTAGTGTACATTGTAAAAGTAGTTTTCTATTCCTTCCCCCCTTCTACCCTCCCAACTTCTCAGTCTCCAATGTTCATATTACCACTCTCTATGCCTTTGCATACCCATAACTTAGCTCCTACTTAAAAGTGAGAAAATGCCATATTTGGTTTTCTGTTCCTGAGTTACATCACATAGGATAATGGCCTCCAGTTCCATCCAAGTTGCTGCAAAAGAGATGATTGCATTCTTTGTAATGGCTGAGTAGTCTTCCATGGTGTGTGTGGAACATTTTCTTGATGGGCATTAGGTTGATTCTATACCTTTGCAATTGTAAATTGTGCTGCAATAAGTACACATGTGCAGGTGTCTTTTTTATACAATGACTTATTTTCCTTTGGGTAGATAACCAGTAGTGGGATTGCTGGATTGAATGACGGGTCTCTTTTTAGTTCTTTGATAAATCACCATCCTGTTTTCCACAGAGGTTGTAAATACTACTTTACATTTCCATTAGCACTGCACATATGTCCCCTTTATACTACATCCATGCCAACATGTGTTATTTTTTGACTTTCTAATAATGGCCATTTTTGCAAGAGTAAGATGGTAGGTATCTCATTGTGGTTTTAATTTGCATTTGCCTGATGATTAGTAATATTGAGTATTTTTTTAATACACCTGTTGGCAATTTGCATATCTTCTTAGAGAAATTTCTGTTCATGTTGTTTGCCCACTTTTTAATGGGGTTATTTGGGGTTTTCTTTCTTACTGATTTGTTTGAGTTCCTTATAGATTCTGCATATCTGCATATTAGTCATTGGTCAGATGCACAGTTTACAAATATTTTCTCCCATTCTGTAGGTTGCCCATTTACCCTGTTGGTCACTTCTTTTGCTGTGCAGAAGCTTCCAGTTTAATTGGGTATCGTTTATTTAATTTTGTTTTGTTGCATTTGCTTTTGAGGTCTTACTCATAAATTCGTTGCCTAGGCAAATGTCCAGAAGAGTTTTTACTAGGTTTACTTTGGGAATTTTTATGGTTTCAGGTATTAGATTTAAGTCTTTAATCTATCTTGAGTTAATTTTTTTATGTGCTGAGAGGTCAGAATCCAGTTTTATTCTCCTATTCATGACTACCTAAGGACACTGAATCAAGTATCCATTCTGCAGTGTATATTTTTGTCTACTTTATCAAGGACAAGCTGGTTGTAGGTATTTGGTTTTATATCTAGGTTCTCTATTCTATTCTGTTGGTCTATGGGTCTACATTTATCACAGTACCATGCTATTTTGGTTACTATATCCTTATAGTATGATTTGAAGTTGGGTAATGTGATGCTTCTAGATTTGTTCTTTTTGCTTAGAATTAGTTTGGCAATTCAGGCTCTTTTTTTGGATTCATATAAATTTTAGGATTGTTTTTTCTAATTCTCTGAACAATGATGTTGGCATTTACATAAGAATTGCATTAAGTCTGTACATTGTTTAGCATAGTATGGTCATTTTCCCAATATTGATTCTTGCAATCCATGAGCAGTGGATGTTTTTCTATTTGTTTGTGTCCTCTATGATTTCTTTTTTTTTTTTTTTGCCGGTGGAAAATAACTTTTATTGAGACCCCACCAGCTGCAAAATCTGTTCCTGGCACTAAATAAGCTTCTTCCTTTGCAATTTGGTTTTTCTTGAGTGGTCCCATGAATACTTTCTTCTCCTCCTTGATCTGGAACTGCCCATGGCCAAACTCGAAGGTGGTGTCAATGAACTTAAGGTCAGTCTTCTCCAGGGCCCGCTGTTTGGTCTGCACCAGCAAGGACTTGTGGAGGGTGAGCACTCACTTCTTGGTTCCCACCAAACAGCCTTTCAGCATGACAAAAGTTATTGGTCACTTCACCATAGTGGACAAAGCCACCCAGGGGGTTGATGCTTTTGTCAGACAGGTCATAGTCAGTGGAGACCTTGTCCTTGATCAGTTTGATGTCATTGATAAGGTAGCCCTGGCCAATTTTATAGATCTTCTTGTTGATCTCAGTGCAGTGATGGTAGCCTTTCTGTCCAGTGCATGCCACAGGGAAGGCTGCATGAGCATGATGCCATGCTCTAATGCAGATCACCTTGCACAGGCCTCAGGGGGTCTTGAGGGGCAGCCTCTTGCTGTGCCAATGACTGGTGACTCCTTTGTAACCTTTGCCTGTGGTCACCCCAATGATGTCGATTATCTCATCCTGTCCAAACACTTGGTTCACAGGTACCTGCTGCTCGAGCCTCTCTCGGGCTCAGTCCAGCTTCTTGGCCATGGTGCCTCGGTTCACTTGGATCTCCATCAGGTGGGCCTTCTGGCACAGAGGAAGTGGGTGCCTCTGGGTGTGGGCAATGACGTGGATGACTTGGCAGTACTTCTTCATGCTGCTGAAGTCCTTCTCCAGCTGCTTCTTGCCATCCTCATACTGCCATTTCTTGCAGTACTTGAGAAAGGCCTTCTTCTTAGATTTATGCCAGTCCTTATAGCCCTTTGCACTCATTACTGATGTGCTCAGCAAAAATGGTCTTGAAGTTCCGGAAGCCTCAAGGGGTTTCCCTGTCACCCACATTGCCCACAACCACCATGGGTGATGTCTCCACAATGGACACAGCCTCTACCACCTCCATCTTGTTCACCTTGGATTCTGGCCTGTCGACTTCCCACATGATGCAGGTCATGCCAGCCTTGTATCCCAGGAAGGCTGTGAGGTGGACCGACTTGGAAGGGTCATCTTAAGGAAGCAATTCACCTTCCCATGGTGCCTGCTGCTGCACTTCCA